GCAGGGAAAGTCAAACGAATCGGCGATCCCCCTTAACTAACTTCCTCGCTCCGGCTAATTAGCTTCCGTTCTACGAGAACCAGGCAAAAACCGAGATATTATTTCCTCCAGTTGTGCTTCTCGTTCGGACGTCATTCGCGGATTTCGTCGCGGACAGGCAGGGATTCTACTTTAGTTCCTCGTTAAATCTGGGTTAAGTGCTTCCACCAGGGGAAGGGAGAGGGAGAAGTTCGGACTCGATTCGTACTGTCGTCATCAAGCCTCGCCGCGGAATCATGCAGTTCCAGGGGTAGCTCGCGTGCAACCATCGGAGAAGAAGTCGCGGGCGCATCGCTACTGAATCCGTTTCGAATGGTACACACGCGAGCGAGAGAGAGCCTCGTTCCTCATTACCAAGCTGTGACAAGCAACGATGCAAACGCGAACAACATAAAGGGGATGCACAACTGTTACGTACATGGCGAAAACGTGGCGAAACTCGCGGCATTGTCGACCGGCGACAGAAGGAAAACGCGTTGCGTTACAAGGAACGCGAACACTGTGTCTCTGTCGCTTAATTGCTCGGCAGGCTCCTTGGTGAACGGAGGAAATATTTTTCGAATGAGAAAAGACTCACACCGCGAGCGGTGAAAAGGGATGCTTTAACGTGACACGTTAGGAGTATGCAGGTTTGTAGTAATTAATGAACTGCGGAAGGAAAGATTCATCGACACAGATTCGCCTTGTTTTCTTGGACAATGTGGATCGATGGTGAAGAAGAGATGTTTCGCGTTAGGTTGACTGCACGTGAAATGTTTTTTCAATGTGAAACTTTGGTTATGTTGGGTTTCTTCGGGAAATTATGTGTTTGATCGAAATAATTTTCATGTGATTCTGTATACAATTTTCTTAACACCTTATCGCTCATATTTTTCACATCTTGATGTGACAAAAATGGCGAATATTTCTTTCTTTTAATTTCCTAGGCGAATAGAATTCCCATTGTTACGGAAAGTGGAAGAAAATGATTTGAAAAAATTGCACTTACTGGACAATTTTATAAAATTTGTCCCAGAAATTATTCCAAAGTAAAAATCTTTGAATGCTGCGTTTACAGTGTCTTAATTTCGGAATAATTTATTTGTTAAAAAATTGTTCAGGTGTTTGAAAAAGGTGGAGTGAATCTGATCAAATTTTATATTCCTTACGATATTCCTTATCATCGACGACCCTATCTGGCCTTCTTCGCTCGTTTTCCAATGAAAAGTCACCAAACCTCGATTTTCCTCCTATTACGGAAGATTTCGTCACAGTTGATTGGACGAGCAATTGAGTAAAAACTAGGGAAGACTCGATTAGCGTTTATTTAATTGTAAAGAAACTTAATTAAAGTTCGAAGCTCATGCTTAATACTAGGTCTATCGAAACTGGGACCTGGAAGTCATCAACCTCCTCAGAGAATACTGTGCTTAAAGCCTAAACATTCAGGCCAATCGATCGCCCAAGTGTGCGAGGGTTTTAAACATGTTACATTAAATACAATTTCATTTCAAACACAAAGGATTACGATGTTGCTAAAGAGCAATATTTAATCTCACGTTTAAAGAAAAACAATTTTTAATTACAGTTTATTAGAATAAACTTAATCGCCAAGTTTGTGTCCGATTGGAGCAAGCAAAATTATAATAAGGTTGTAATTAATTAACACGAGAATAATTTAACAAGGACACTTTAGAAATTCGTTTTACTTCAATGATCGTATTTAATTTATCCAACTCGTACATCTGCGTACAACTGATCGCCACTTCACGCAGAGTACGTTGTAAATTGTGAAGGAAAGCGGGACAAATGAGAAGAAAATAAACAATCTCCTGTGGGAAGAGGGGGAAACGTTTAATTTAATTTAATTTTTAAAAACAGTTTTCTGATACCTCATACTCAAACGTAGAATCGAGTAATTGAATTGAACTGACGCACGCATACAGATTCATCGAGTAAATTGAAATCTTGGTACTCTTTTCCTAATTAACCTACACTTACCGAAGCTGCTTTTTCACAATGGCCGTACACATTTCTGTTATCATTTCTATTCGAGCATATTTCGTTATTTAAACAGTATAAAAATATGTGACAATTATTAAAATATTTTTGACAATTCTTTCGTTCTGTTTTTGGAGGAAAAATATGTTTAAAATGAGAAACGTGAAAGTTTTAACTCTCACAGAGGAATTAGAATAAGAAACGCGAGAGGTTTCTATTTATTTTTAATTGACAACGATTTAATTAAAATTTGAAAAGTGAGGGA